GGGGCGGCGGTGGGGGATGTGAGCTGGAAAAATGTTGGATGAGAGTTTTGACCGACAATGTGGATGATGTTGACGGATGGTTGGGGGAAGCGAATGAAGGATGGGACGAGGTGGAGACGGGGTGAAGGGTGGTATCGGGAAGCGGGGTGGCGGATGTAGACGCGAGAGTAAAGGGGGCGGACGATGGTGGATCGTGGAGGACTACTACAGGCCAAGGGCTGGGACCCGGTTCTCCATACCTGGACGGGTCTGAAGTGGTGGGGCGGCAGACGATCTGGGCGCCGGCAGGGAAGCGGTGGACGATGGTCATGTGGCGGATGAGGGGGGCCCAAGGGGCTTGTGGACGATCGGGTAGGACAATGATGGCAGAGGTTTTGGGGTTGGCGGTCTTGGCGTCGAGGTAGCGGGCGACGATGGTAGAGACGTTGTCGACAGGTGGCACCATCCATATGCACTCTCCTTCGATGTCGGTCGATAGGAAAGGTCGGGACGGTGAGAAAAAGGGCGAGAGCTGTGCAGTTAAGCCGAGGTCATCACAGTAGGCATCGATGGTAAACGGGCCGTACTGTGAATCATATTCAAGAAAAAGCGATCGCGCGATTTTCCAATCATTGCTTGCCTGGCATGCTCCCTTCGATGACGAGGCTGCAGCTGCGCGAGCACGCTTGCGACCAACACGGCGGGCAGGCTTGCGGACGATTTGAGCTAGACGTTGAACGTTGAACGCGGTTTCGGACGAGTGCACAGCAGACGACGTCGGCAGGCTGTGGCTGACCGTTTCTGCCGACGACGGCCTAAGAGCCGATTTAACGGGGGCCTGGGGAGCGGGAGCGGGTAGGGGATTTGTTGCTGATGTGCTGGGAGCGGCGGCCGTGGGAGCTGTTACTGACGCGGGAGGGAGAACGACCGCGATGGCTGTGGTTGTCGTATTGTCGGTGGCCGCGTGAACGTCGATCCTCGGAGGCGGAGGACGTGGAGGAGCGGGAGGGCGAGCGGGCAGGCGAGCGGGCAGGCGAGCGGGGCGGCTTGCGGCTGTTGTTAGCACCCTGAAAGGAGTGCCGGCGGGAGGAGTTGGGTTGGGAGATGGTGGTTGCTGCCAGGAGGCGACGAAGTTCCGGGCAGTGTTCCTTGGCGTGCGACTCGTCACCACACTGTAGGCAGACGTGCTGGGCCATGCGCTGGAGGCGCAAGTTGTAGGGGACTCCGATGGTTTTGATGCTGCTCGGAAGAGGTGAGGTGCTGTGGTGCGGCGTGGTGGAGTAGACGTTGGCGGTGAGGTCCATAGGGTCGTCCCGGTGGACGTCTCGGGAGCTACATGGCGCGGTGTTGTAGTCGATGAGGTGGGCGTTGTGGCGCCCGGAAAAGATGCCCATCGCCAAGTCAATGATGATCTGCAGGGTCACATCAGTGCCGTATTGAGGAAGCCTTGCGTAGACTTCCTCGCGGAGGTCCCTGTTGAGACCTTTCGCGAAGTGAAAGACGTGGTCGAGTTCGTGACGGTGAGGAAGGTCGCCCATAAGGCGTCCGAAAGCGGCCACGTACGACACCAGAGAGTTCGGGCCTGAGCCTTGACGAATGGTGTCCATGCTGATCTGGGCCTGGAGGAGGCGATCGGGTCTGGGCGCGAGGGGCGTTAGCGCTTGAAGGACCGCAGTTAAGGAAGTAAAGGGGGTACGTTGGTGGTGGAGGAGGAGGGTGTCCAGGGTAGGTCCTTCGATGGCAGACAGGGCTATGGCGACAGCAGGCGCACTGTCTTCATGCAGACCGCATACCGTGAAGTGGAGGTGGAGGCGGTTGGCCCACGAAGCGAGGTCGGCGTCCTTGGCCGTGGGGTTGAATCGGGGGGCTGGTCAGCGCTGGTTGTTTGACGAACGATTCTCTAAGGCTCGTACGGCAGCATGTGCGGCGACTTCTGAGATTCTATCCCAGGGGAGAGCGGCTTCGGACGTGGTGGGGGGCGCCGCGGGCGCGGGCGCGGGCGCGGGCGCAGGCGCGGGCGCGGGGTCGGTGGCGGCAGGGAAGGAAGGCATAAACGGGAACTCGTTCGAGAGAGACATGGTTGATGAAGAGGTGACGAGGACGAAGACGAAGTGACGAGGGCGATGACGAAGTGATCAGGGCGATGACGAAGTGATCAGGGCGAAGGCGAAGTGATGAGGACGAAGACGAAGACGAAGTGATGAAGGCGAAGACGAAGTGATGAAGGCGAAGACGAAGTGATGAAGGCGAAGACGAAGTGATGAAGGCGAAGACGAAGTGTAGAGGTGAAGATGATGGCGCGATGGCGCGATGGCGCGATGACGACGAAGACGATGGCGACGACGATGAAGAGCTCGGCGAGGAGGATCACCTAGGTCTCGATACCAATTGAAAGGGAACCAGGCCGCTCCTAACAACTGGGAAGCGTAAGCTGACTTTACTGGCCGATATACTTGCGTAAGCACAGAAGATCGGGCTTTTCAATTTCAACTTAGACTTACAATGTTCGTAAAATGGTCCGCTTAAATAGTCATATTAGCGCGCCATTGTCTCACACGGAGAACCACAGGATCAAGCTCCACTAGCTCCGAAGTTACGACATGGTCTCAGAAGCGCGCGCTAACGAACTGCAAAACCTTACATGAACTAACAGATTTAAATTATGTTTCTTGGCTGCACCAAGTATTTTCCTAGGCGAGAAGTTCATGGTCTGCTGCCGACCCAACCTCCGGTACGACAGTGCTAGACAAACGTAGCAGATGTTCATAAATGACTTTTATGTTTATGTTAATATTATTGCTATAGCGGCTCTGGCCCGGACGGGTGTAAGATGTGCGTTGGTCGACGCGTTGGCCTTAGAAGAAGTAGAAAAACGCGAAGAGAACACGTGAATTCATATGCAGAAGTCATGGACGGCGACGTTTTACGCTCTGAATGGTGATTCCTGCTTTTGTGTTCGGTTCTGGACCTCACATGTTGTCGTACCGGAAAATTGTCTTCCGGTACGGCGGTACAGGAGGTATCTGCGTCGACTTGTATGCAAAACACTGAGGTCCTGGTGAAGCAGCTGCCCGCGTTCGCAAAGTGTCTATAGTTGTGGAAGGTGCCGAAGTGCGTCGGTGAAACAGAATGTGGCCGGATTGGAGAGAAAAGTGCAGCAGTATATTGTGAGTGTAGTTGAAGCGTTTTACAAGGCGTTTGGCGCACGGGCGAATGTACATGCATTCCTATCATCGTGGGTGCGTCTCGTTGCTTGGCCTGCAACGCGTATACAGTACTTGTAGCGTCAGTCCTCAGCTCACTTCTTGTAACGAACATCAGCATAGGTACAAGCCCTCCCGGTTGGAGGGATATGCAAAAACAAACATAATGAAGGGTAAACTCGCAACCTACCGAGCATTCACCCGACCAGGCGACGAGCCGTCCTTGACACGGCTCTGAACGACTTTCCTGTTTTTATGTTTAATTAATTTTGTGTATGTTATATTTTGCCGCAAGTTTGTAATTTGACTTTACTCTGGACAAGGTGCTGTATGCGTTGCACAAAAGTGCCTCACCCAACGCTTCCTCTTCTGGCGGCCGTTTCATGAGCCCAGTCTTGCAAGCTACATTGTTTGCTTTCGGTGCTTTCAGTTACGGCAAAGCAGCCACCCACATTTCCGGCCTGCATACCGCGTGCGACTGTGGCCAACATGCACTCCTGCACAACCCCCTGCCTTTCGCCCCAAAAAATGACATACACTTGTACACGCGCATTTTGAGAATCGCACGCGCGCATCCGCGCGGTAAAATTCGCTCCTGGCTTTTGGGGTGTCTTGTAGGGCCCGGACCGGACACGATTGTGCGAGAGGCTGCTTAACCAATTACACCTAGGGATCATATGGTGGTTGCATCGCATGTTTCTTGGCCGCAGCCAGGAGCAAACTCAAATGGAGTTGGGCCATTTGCCCAGGCTGCCGCATGGACGACAAGCCAGGCTAACGCAGCTGATGTCCATGAATGCCCTTTACATTTTGAGTATAAAAGTCACATCTACCCCTAACTTACATTCTGGGTTTAGTACTACTGGTCAGGCGCGACAATTACTCCCGAGAGATCCAGGTATCGAGGCACGGTACCACTGAGAGCATTATCCAAGTCATAGGCGCAACAATGTTAACGAAACATTAAGAGAGGTAGTGTGGATATCGCACTTTCGATTAGAGTGATGACTTGGGTATCTAAAGGGTGACTCCAAGTAAATTTCTATTATGTGATGCCTGTACAGGTCCTATTATAGGGAATCATGTATACTTGCGTCTATATAGGCAATGTCGTTTACAACATCAAGTGTATACAAACCGTATACATGACCTGTATACCGCATAGCCTAAACATCCCTTGCTACAGGTTATGATGTAAAAATGTACTTATAATACTATGCCATACACGATTGTATATTAGGCCATCACTTACACATGCGCCTCTTATGCCTAAGCCTTTAAGTTTCGTAGAATACGTGTAGAGCTAAATGGCCTATATACCTTTCACCTAATTTCCCGAATATGTCATCTATACATATGCCCGAAAAAATACAGACGGTGTTACATTGGTGCGGAATGCTAGGAGGTGAGAACACTCCGGATCAAATCCGGATGCGAACATACCACACACCAGGCAATGATGCAGTGTACTCTTCCCCAAACATGATGCCCAGTTGGGCGAAAAGTCTACCAGCTGAGTGAAATCAAAGTCATCCATCTTGGATGGGGACTGACATCACTCATCATGACGTTCACTCGAGGGGGGGAGGAATATAAGAAGGGATCAGATCCCCTGGCATCTCCCTGCACAGTACTCCCTGAAGAGTACTCAGCTGAGTACTCTTTGCCTGGTGTTACAGGTCCCGCTATCAGTGAGGCCAGCGGTATCACCTTCTCACCACCTCTCGACCACCCTTCTCCACTGGCTGGCATCCCACCGCGGGAGCTTTGTTAGTTAACATCGCAATCCAGCGGAATATCACCCCACTCCAGCAACAAATGGTGGAACAGAGCCAGCTCCTGGCCTCCATGGCCAAAGTAATGACAGCTAGCTATAGCCAAAATCCGGCAGCCACCATTCTGTCACCAGCCCAGGCAGGGGCGGCATCGGTCGCACCCGACAAGGCGAAAAGAAGCAAGGACAAAAAGAAGAGGAAGGACGACAGCTCAAGTTCAAGTTCGTCATCAAGCAGTGACGACAAGGCACCGAAGTGGTTGTGGTGCTTGGTGGACTGCATCGAGGCTCAACAGCCTACAGACCCATCTGGTTTCCTCAAACAAGTCTTCCACGGTTTTGACACGCAGGGAAAGCTGGCATTAGCTTTGCTGGTGGAGGTTCCGCCGAACGTGAAGGGTGCTATGAAAGTCCTCAAGCCTATGGTTCACCGTGCAAGGTCGGCATGGTAGTCACCAAAGCGCACATCAGTCTTGCGGCTGGGAAATTTGTTTCAGCATTCTATGTGTAGTAGCTGGTACACAGTAAGGCTCTACATATACGACCGCCAGCATCGTAAGGCCTTCTTAGCGGCCAGCTACTACATTTGGTATCGAGACCTCGTGAAAATTCATGATCCTGAAGTTGCTGGTTCAATCCCCACCATTATGCTTGGTGGAATATCGGGTATGGTGACTCAGTAATCATCGCGGTAAATTGTAGCTGAACCGACTGGACTGTCCCGAGGCCTGAAAAACCTTAAGACGGCTAGATGCATGTGAAAGCGACACATGACGTGACGAGGACTGGTCACCCACTGCCCGAGGGTAGGCGAGGGTAGGCACAGGCTGGTGGTATACGTGGCCGTAAGGGCCCGAGACAGATCCCTTCATAGGGGGGGAATGTAGTAGCTGGCACACCGTACAGCTCTACAAATACACATGAAGCGTGACCACCAGCATCTCGAGAGGCCTTTTCAGCGGCCAGCTACTACACTATGCAATGAGGAGAAGTTTTGGGACACGACCAAGCCAGGAAAACTAATAGATGGAGTCAAGGAGCAAGCGCTAAAGAACACTGCCGGCCGCTCAGGTGGGGGTGTGGGCGGACACAGCACAGGTGGTGATGGAGCAGGTGGCTCATGCGGAGGTGGAGTGTGCAGGCTCTGGACACGACAACAAGAGGCGCGCTGATGACGTTGGCCATAATGCACGAGATGAAAAGCAGCACCGTTGAGGATTGTACACAGGCCCGCATGCCATTGTCTCGGATGTCTTTCGTCTTTCAGTGAGCTGCACCCACGTTCACCTTGGCTATCTGGTTGTGCACCTGCGTGCACTTCAGTCCCATCACTGTGTGAACGCGTGCACTTTGGCCATTACCATGCTCCCGCGTGCACCTGGGCTACGTCTCTAAAATTGGAAGTCACCTATAGGCCGGGCCATCGCCTAATAGGTAGGACCGCGGAATATGTGGAGTATAGGTGATTTCGCGTATATGATCGTATACAACACACCTATAGGCGATCTGTTGTATACAGCATGGTCTATAGGCCTGAAGGCTATAGGTTATCATGTGTACGCAAGAAAAGCTGTGAGAGCCTATAATCGTTGTATAAAGGTATGCATACCTAAAGGCATATATGCCTTTATGTAGGCCGCTCGTATATACAGTGTTCGGGCCAAAGCTGCACTAGCTGCTGCGTGCGAAACACATTTGACCTCCCTTAAAATGCTGCAAACTATGAGGTCTGTGCATATGAAACGTATTGTATTCACCCTTCATGCCGAGGCACATGCATCGATGGAGCCCATGCATTGCCGTCAGGTACCCCTCGTCCCTAAGATCTACTGCTGTAACAACCACGCACACATACTGCTAGTAGTCATAAGAGCTGTAATTCCTGTGACCTCTGGTGTCCTGTTCGCGCCAGTTGCACCGCAAACGCTTCCACATGAACTGTTAAACTGTTTAAAATTTTCGTATTCTTAAGTATCGCGCGTGTGTATGCTTTGAAAATACAGGAGATGGAAAAGGTACGCTTACAGCGCTAGCCGTCAGCGATTTCTGGCTTACCAGGGTCTCAAGATCTAGGACCTCTTTTCCGAAAGCACTGAAAGGAGTTTTGCAACGTTATGTAATCTTTTCGGGGACTTTCCATGGACCTGCCGGCGAAGTAAGGGAATGATATGCGCACGCCGCCGAATAAGTAATTATCAGTAAATTGTTAACCTGCAGGTATCACGTTGAACTTCTTAATGCAATGCCAACATAAACCAAACAGAACAAGCCTACAACATGACTTCCAAAGGGTGGCATGTATGTTAGAAGCGCCCTGCATTCCG